TAACGGCACCTTACAACGAATGAATGGTTCGTTGATGAATCTTCGTGAGGCTCGATTTGACTGCATTTATTTCTTTGAACAAATACAACTAAGCAACCGTCGGCCAGATTACGTTTACATTAATCCTTATTTTGAGTATTTTCGTCAGTATGTAATCCGTGACTTATGAGGAATACAGAAATCCAAAGATGGAAAGGTTTTTAATTCACATGTCTACGTCGAAACAAGCATTCATAAATCTTGGAGCACAGTGTTATTGCCCCGATTAAGAAAACCAGGGACTAAACATGTGCACGCCTGGGAAAACAGCATGCAACGGAAGGGTTATGTGAAAAACCACAACTTCATCAGGAATGGGATGCGAGGAAGTCGCAGCAACCACTCTACTGGGGTTGGCCGAACAGATGAAATGGTTGGGACAAAAGTTAGAGTGTGGGAATCACGTAAGATAAGACACTGGTCACACGAGCCCAAAAATTCCGGTTAGGCGGAAATCACATTGTAATAAATGAAAATAATACAGCTATACATATATATATATATACATATACTTAAGACGTCTGATCAATTAGAAATAATAATACTTTTGTTCATGACAATAAATGGACATTAGGAACTAGCTCAGGGCAGCTTTTCTTTATCGTTATCAGGGTCTATTCAGTGTTTGCTTGGACGAGCTGCACCATGACCCTGTCGGAATATGATGAGAAACCGCAAGAAACCTTTGGTGCATCTGGGTTCTTACGTTTCTACCCCTCTATCTGATCCAATTGTTCCTGATCGCCAATCTCATTGTTTTTGAATGGAGCTTCAAACTAACGCTTCCAACTCCCAACTAAGCGTTTATTATTGTTCTCACAGAAGTTCCAGTTGTTCAGCGTTTCATCCTTTCCTCGAGCCCACCAACAAAATTTTGTATTCTCTCCCTTGCCTACTATTATTGTAAACACGGTGGAACCGATAGTTTTCATAACTGGGAAAAAGAACAAATCAAATGACTTTCATGTGGTAGAGATAAATGGGATGGTGATGAATTTCGAACAGAAGAAAACCTCCAAGGGAATAGCCTGGTGCCCGCTACCGTTTGATCACTTAATACTTTTGCAAATGGTTGTTTGGCAGATTTATTCAAATTTTCTCAGACACGCTTTCTAAAGCTGTGTAAAGCTTCTTCAGAGTGATCACTTCGTGTGCAAAATTTGCTATTGGTAGCGAACTGAACTACGCCTGAAACCTACGCTGAAAATTGATAGTTCTATGTAGGTCATTAGAAACTAAAATCGAACAGGAGTGTTTTCACTCAACAGCCGGTTAGAATATCAGTATTTCAAATATAGTTTGAGAAACTAACACGTGAGATGAGTGACAATATATCTCTCCAGTGAAGTTCAACCCAGGTTCCCATTGGCTGAAATTCGTTTATGTACGATCGCGTGCATCAAAGTTGTTCTCATAAAGAATTGGAAATAATCTCTATCAAATAAACAAATACAAGGTTATATATAAGAAAATGTTCCCTAAATGTGTTCAGTGAGGAGAGGAATTGGTAATAGTTTGATAAATTTCAGATGATCACTTTTACTTTTGACACTGTCATACTCCACTTCAGGCAATTTGAATCAAATTTATCGCTTTAATAGCTGGAGGTCTACGCCAAAAATTGATTTATTAAAGAATTGAAAGAATTCTCACTTCTAAATTAAAAATAACCGGAATTATTCGTCTTTCGTTTTTCCGTTCATAAAAGATTATTATTCAAATAGGTTTCACCTCATTCGCTCAAGGTGGTTGAATTTAACGTTCCCACAATTTTTTTCTTCAGATTTTGTTCATATGTGCTGTCCGCTGAATGAGGCTTCAACGGAGCATTCGAAACGATGAAAAACAAACACACCTTTTCGCAAATTTTAATTTCCATCGAGAAGCGTTTATTTTTTGCCCCCACGAGCCGTGTGCGAATAATGGGTACCACTCAAAGGTTAATCTACGCGGTAGAGCTGATGAATGATTGCAACTAGCTCAATTGTTCCAAGTGCTGTTTAGAATGGTGAAATAAAACTCCACGTGACCGAGACAGGTTTGCCTGAACTAGCGAATTGAAGACTAAAATGTGTGGACCAGTCCAGTGCATGAAGTGTCGTCCCAAGAAGACACTTCAAATTGGAAGCGGTAATTTATTGATCTTCAAACGTTTGTCACGCATCTGAATACGTTAATTACTTCCCCTTGTCCCTCGTAAATTCTTTTTTGCTGCTAGTCATACATTCCGTGTTGCAATGGCATGAAACAGTAAAAACGAGCTTATTTGCCGGTTTGCGTTTCTCAGACCATCTGAATGGACGGGGTCAAGTGAAGAACAGCCGGTTCAGTGAGCGCAAAATGGAAACGCATCTGTTTTGATTTACGTGGAAACGCAATATAGTGATTTCAGTAGAATAATTGCATTAGCGATAGATTTATGAACAAAATATCTAGTTGATTAAAGTATCTTCAAAAGAATGTTTAAAATACGAAAGTTACCCTATGGATCCCGTTTGACGGGACCAATTGCATTGCATTTTTACCGATTACGTAACTTGTGCATAATACAGCTGTCAATCGCATAGTTCCGATTTATCTTCCCTATAACTTTGCTTGATTGACACAGTCTTACATGTGTATACTGACACACAATGCACAGATCATGGCCTGAAAGTTTCTTCATTCCGGATACATTAACCACCTTACATGTACGTGTGCAAGCAGCTGACCGGTACACCCGTAGAACTAAGAACAATATAATGTCTACAGTTACCTAATAATAATTTATATTTCACTTGGTTGGTTCTGAATAAAAGTTCAAAATGTCTGCGCTATTTCAATCAGCCCGGATGAGATGCGGATCTTGAAATACTAATTTTTCGGCACCAATTAGTTAACGCTAACGACTTGCCTAGCTNAGATGTACTGCTGACAGTAAAATGTTTGCAAATGAAAATTTAACAAAACTGCGCACCACAAAAGAATGAACTAAACAGAAGTAAATATCAAAAATCCTGAACGGCTTTGCATCCAATCAAAGAGATCATTTTGTCGAATCACAAATAAATAAAACGAAATGTCTATTCTAATAACACCCCTTGGAGTACCCACACCTCAGCCGAGAACATCATTTGTATGTCTAAGTGATGGTTTAAACAAGTATTCCAAGTTGAAATGTTTTCGACGGGTGACTAGTGCAAAAATGTGAGAGGCGAGTTACCTGCAACAAGCGTGCAAAAATGGCTTGTGCGGAGAAAGTGAAACTGCATGGTAAGATGTCTGGTGTATTACGAGACCGTGTCAAGGTGGCATAAAGCGAAGGGGGTTCTGTCCCTCTCAAGTCCGCACAACGAGTCGTTAGGCGATAAGCAACAATAGCTGACAATACCTGACTTTTACAAAATCCCAGGTACACGTTTGAAGAGTTTGTTTCCAGGTTGGCGGACACAAGCAAACGAAACTTGTTGACTACTACTCGCCTGTGGGCATATTGAAAGGTGCGGTTGAAAGACCAGATTGAAAGCAGTACCAGAAGGTCTTGTTTGTCAGACCTATCGAATAATAAACAAACTCAGGATTGGCAGACACAATCGCACTCCTGACCGTCTGGACCAAATTCTCTGCCGCTTCGTTCGAACAGGGGGACGTGGCGCAGTTCGAAGATGTCAGACGCATCGGTGATTAGTATTGTAGGTTTTGATGGTGAAAACGGGGTCAAAACAGGACGATCAGTAAAGCAGCAAATTAAACCACGTAAGATATCCTCACACTCCACCGACCATTCCCAAGCGTCTGAATACTGAGCACGGAAAAGCGGATGCACCCTTGTAGCAAAGTTCGGGATAAATCGGGAATAGTACTGTGGGCATCCCATCACGGATCTCAAATGCGTTTGATCCTGAGGAGATTAGATGTTAGTCAGTGGTTTGAAACGTGTCAAATTGGGATGATATACACGGGAATCAACTGCGAATCCTAGAAGCCCCAACTCACTCACTTTAACCGCACATTTGGACGGCTTGATAGCCACGTTTCTGGCGGCAAATCGTTCCAGTAGCTGCGTAAGACGGGCATCGTGTTCGTTCTTATTAAGGCCGAAAATGAGGACGTCATTTTGATATGCAAGCACACCGTCGAGTCCTTTTATTACATTGTCTATTGCCGATTGAAAGAGCCGAGACGACACATGCAATCCGAATGGGAGAAAATTGTACTGATACATTCCCCATGGCGTGTTGATTGTTGTCAAGTAGTGAGATTCGACATCGAGTGTAATCTGTAGGTATGCGTCCGCCAAATCGATCTTGGGGAAATACTGGCACCCATGGAATGGCTTCATGAAATCCTCTGGTTCCATGGTGGTCGCTGCACATCTCCGCAATCTGGGATTCAACGTTAGTCGATAGTCTCCACGATCTGTGGTGTCCTAACATCCTTTTTCATCGCCACGACGATCGGGGTAGCCCAGGCACTGGATTTAAATTTACTTATCACACCATCCTGCTCCATGTTCTTTAATGCTTTCAGGACACCTTCCCCTTGATCGTATGGGAGGACAAGTCGTTTTAGGAAAATAGGTTCACCGTCTACTTCCAATTTTACTGACGGTACTTTCATGCCACCAACGTTACCGGAACACTGTACAATCAAATGTTGAAGCTGTGAGGTGGTTGGCATATCGTTGTTGGTATGTAGTGTGATGGATCCTTGTAGTAGCCTCATTTCTCGAAGGCCCATAATAGACGGACTGTGGGCTGACACCAGGAATCGGATTGGGATTGATACGCCGGATTCAGATTAAACGCACAACATCGTTTCGCCAATAAATTGCAACTGATGGCCAATAACCCCATGAATGCGCTCAGAAGTCGGGGCTAGAACAGCATTAGGACAAATCGCAGTGACTGCTGACTTCGGAAGGATAGATTCGCTGCTTCCTGTGTCCATGATGAATCAATGCTCCACACCAGACTCGAGCCTCAGTGGGGCGAACACGAACTGGTCNCGATCAGAGTTGCCCAGGCACTGGATTCAACTTTGCTTATCACACCATCCTGCTCCCTTTTCTGTAACGCTTTCAGGACACCTTCCAGTTGACCGTATGGGACAACGCGTCGTTTTAGGAAAATAGATTCACCGTCCACTTCCAACTTCACCGACGGTACTTTCATGCCACCAACATCACCGAAACACTGTACAATCAAATGTTGAAGATGTGAGGTGATTGGCATATCGTTGTTGGTATGTAGTGTGATTGATCATTGTAGTAGCCGCATTGCTGATACCAGCAATCGGATTGGGATTGATCAGACGTCGGGGCTAGAACAGCACTAGGAAAAATCGCAGTGAGTGCTGATTTCGGTAGGATAGATTCACTGCTTCTTGTGTCCATGATGGTGCTCCACACCAGACACGAACCTCAATAAGGCAAACACGAACCAGCCGTTGAGTTCAGTGGTGTGCAGCGTGTAGATTGGGCTTGAGTTCTCATCTGCCGCTGGGGTATGTGAATCGATGTGGTTGCACTTGGGAATTCGGCATACCTTACGGATATGGCACATCCTACCGCATGGAT